TGTACAAAGTGATTTTCTAGCTCAAGGTAGTCTCAGAATGATGTTTAACTGGACTATTTAAACCTTTAGGATTATAATAAGTATTTTACCCTAGTGCTGGTGTTTCTTTTTTGTGCTTTTAGTTTTCTTGTCTTGGTAGCTTGCTGATCTTCATTTTTTTTAATAATCAAAACAGGGTTTGGATCTCTTGGGCTGATGACATCTGTTTTGGTATGCTTCGCTTTTTTAAGTATATATTCTGGTTTAGTTCTCGTTGTCCTATTTTATTGGTCATTTTGTTAGCATCTGATATCATATAACATTCTCTCTCTCTCTCTCTCTATCTGGGATAAAGTGCACCTTAGTCACTCAGTTATGGAGTATGAAACTTTATGCCCCATTTGGGACATGGAATTCAAACTATGGAATTGGAATTGAGGACAACAATTCTAATTCTACTGTTTGGTAGCACAAAAATATGTGGATTTGAAATTGGTAGTGCCAAAAATGAATTGAAATTGGAGAATTTAATTCCATCCAAATCAATTCCATAGAATTTCAATTTCCAATTCAATTCCAATTCCGTGTACCAAATGGACCCTTAGGCCCCGTTTGGTACACGGAATTCAAACTATGGAATTGGAATTGAAGACTTCAATTTCAATTCTGGTGTTTGGTAGCACAAAAGTTATGTAGATTTGGAATTGATAATGCAAAAAATGAATTGGAATGGGTGAATTCAATTCTATGGAATTGCATCCCATGGAATTTCAATTCCAATTCAATTCCAATTCCATCAATTCCGTATACCAAACGGACACTTAGGAATTTTAGTCAACAACTGTTCCTGGCTGCATCTCTTGGCAGCAGTTTTTGTCCTCCCATTTATCCCATTAATAAGGAACTAATTTTACCAACATAATTTTACGTGACTAAAACACAAGCCACTTTTTTTTATTGTTTCCTTTAAATTTCTAATTGTGTGAAGGTTTTGTTTTGTAGTAGATTATTTTTCTGTCTCTTAAGCTTAATTTTGCATCCATCGTTCCAAGACCTTGTGGATTTGTTATAGATTTGCCCTGATGGAAAAACCATAGAGGCTGAAGCGGCACATGGAACCGTCACACGTCACTATAGAGTTCACCAGAAGGGCGGTGAAACCAGCACAAACAGCATTGCCTCCATCTTTGCCTGGACTCGGGGCCTCGCTCACAGGTATTTATGATTTGTTTCTATACCCAAAGACTGCATGTACGGACACTTCATAAAAGTATCTGTCCACATATACGCAGAGATATAAAGGAGTCCTATATTTTAGTTTATTTTAATATAAAATATATATTGACGTTAAATTAGAGTATTCTGTTTTGCTTCCAGAACCTCGGCACAGAATTTTATTTCTTTACCAAAATCACACCTAGTAGTAGAATAATGATGATTGTGATGCGTTTTTGTGAGCAGGGCGAAATTGGACAACCACGATAGACTGTTGGATTTCACGGAGAAGCTGGAAGCAGCCTGCGTTGGCACGGTGGAGTCTGGAAAGATGACCAAAGATCTTGCACTTATCATCCATGGCTCCAAGTGGGTGTTTGTTTGGCCTTCAATTTTGGTCATTTTTTATTTGCACTTTTCGGGTCACGATGGGTCAAATGACATTTTTAACCTAAACGTTGTCTTCTTCTTAAATATATATGCAGGCTTTCAAGGGATACGTATCTGAACACTGAACAATTCATCGATGCTGTGGCAGATGAGCTGAAAGCTAGGCTCTTGAAGGCAAAGGCATAAACACGTACGTATTTAATTATTAATTACTCGGTATTCATTTATTTATAAATGCTTTAGGGCTTTGTTTGGATGGTTGTTGGATGGAGGGGGACTGATTTTTGGGTTCAAATGGGTTCTGAATATCTCTGGACAACAATTTCACCATCTGTTGTTTAGGTCTCTTTTGGATGCATCAATGAGGGGAGTGGCACTTTCTTCTATTTAGTATTTTGGCGGATAACAGAATAAAATAGACTTTGTGCTAATCATATATCATCTCCCCTTTGTCATTGAGAAATTTTCAACGGCTACTTCAAGTGGTCCATTTATTGTCCATTTATTATGTACTCCATACTTTCTATTAAAACTCTATTACTCCCTATTTTCCATTACGTCTCTAAATACTTTTCACAGTATTCTTTTAAGTACTCCGTATTCAAGTAACAGATACTCCCCTCTTTGTCCCCCCCTCTCTCTCTCTCTCTCTCTAGTTTTTACTACTAGTAGTAATGCCTTTAGCTCTCGCACGGATTGAACCCTTTCAATCCAATGATCTGATGTGACGGCACCCTCCGTCCCCGTGTGCGCACCGGGCACGGCACGTCACGACTTTTCTGGAAAGAAAAAACAAATAGAGATTGTATTGTGATTTATTTTCTCCGTTCTTGAGTATTTGTCTATTTTTGACTTTTTTGAGTCAAAATTGGTAAACTTTGACTTTATATTAATTAAAAATGGTATTAGATATTGATACAAAATAAATTTATTAGATTTATTATACGAAATATTTTCAATATATATTTTATTTAATTATGGGTCAAATATTAAAAATGGTTGACTGATAAAACTAAAAAATTGACAAATACTCAAAGACGGGCTATTTTGTTGGGGTTAGTGTATGGTTAAGTTTACCTCGGATTTTTTTTAAAATATTTTTTCTTCTTTACTTCAACTCTATAAGATATTTTGGAGTTTAAACAATAACAAATTGGTACATAATGTCAAAATATAATGCAAAAATAATGGTGAAATGTCAATGCCTGAGGCCCTCTCTGTTTGGGAAAAGATTTGACTTTTTACGGTCTTGAATGTAATATTTTGACTATTAGTATATAGTCATGTGTGATCTTGTTTGATTTGTCTTAACATATATATTATTAATATATAATTTCTACTCCCTCCGTCTCAATTTAAATCGCTCGTTTTGACTTTTGGGCATATTTAAGGAAAATAAAAAATAGAGTTAATTTTTCAAAATTGACATTACTTTTTAAGAGGGGTAATGATAAATGAGAAGATAAGGTGAAAAAGAATGACTTATTTTAATGGCACTTTAGGTATTTTATTTTTAATAGTTTACGAAAATAACTAACAGGCAATTTATTTTGGGACAGAGAAAAAAGACAAACAGGCAACTTAAAATGGGACAGAGGGAGTATAATTTTTTAATATACAAATTACAAGATAAAATGGATTAAAAAAGTGCATTGGATGGTGTGCCAAAAGGTAAGTGGACAAAGAGAGTGGGACGGAGGGAGTATATGTGTATTATAAAAAATTTATTATTTAGAAATTACGTTTCAAAATGAAACTGATGATATTACATTTATATCAAAACATAATGTTTTTTTCTACATATCAAGCTTAAAAGTTATAAATTATAATCGAGAAAATCAATTGTGAAAATTATTTTCGGAGTACCTAATATTTCATGGTTCCAAAATTCTTTATTGAATAAAACAGATTAAATCTTATGTCGAGATAAGTTTTTTATTTTAATCTTGTTTCGATAAGTTTCTTACACCTAATTTTCATAAATCATTTGAAAGGGAAAATCGGAAAAATTGAGGGCAATACTCCGGATATGAAGTCATTAATCATGGACAATGGTTGATTAATTGGACCCATCCACCGATTTTAACTTCCCTGACCGGCATTAACTACCGCCAATTATGGCTTTTCCTGACTGCGGTAATTACCCGTCACGTTTTTTTGTTGGGTTGCTTTTTGCCTCTTTAACCTTTCTTGCTAAATTTGTTCCCCCAAACATATTCTTATTACTTATGTAGTACGGAGTACTTGGTATTATTTATATTTATTAGATCAAGAACAATTTTAAATTTTATTACAAGCAAATTAGGTATGATTAGACCAGATCATATCAAAATTTATTTTAATCAGATCAGAACCAATTAGATCTGATGAAGAGAACAAATTGTTGGTTATATTTGGTAAAACTATCATCCCGATATCATTCAGTTTGACATTTTGGAGTCAAATAGGATGAATTCAGATCTTAAAATAAAATAAAATTATAATTTTTATTAGTATACAAATGACTTTATTAAATGTATATTTTTAAGAGCTTTTATAAAAAATTATTGTCTTAATATGTAATACAATTTGAGAGTAATTAATTATTAGGGTCCGATCTGACTCAAAAAAATTAAATTGGACGAATACACTATGACGGAAGGAGTATTTACCATTTACATTTTATGACTAAAAAAGTTATATGATAAATAGTTCTTGTAGTCTTCCATATATTGGTAAGCAATAAGAAAAAATGTGAAGCACGCGCTTTATATGGAAAAACGCAAAATATGTAACAAAATAAAGGTGCTAATCTGATGAAATTGTCCTTGTCTTCGTAGTTAAAGAAGGAAATAGTCTGCTTCCATATCTTGTAACACACGATATTATCCTATAATAAAGTTACTTGAAGAATGAAATAATCACGATCGTGTAGAACATTGTACTACTGCTCAAGAAGATCACTATGGAATACATGAAGAAGTTGTGACAATTGAACCAAAAGATTGAAGATATTGTATTTCGATTCATGCTTACACGTTATATTTTTTTAACCAAATAATTTATTAAATAGGGCTCCAGGCCAGGAATTCATGCCTATACATTATAATTAAAACTCCATATCAACTTAAAGTTCAAGAACGGGTTTACCCGTTATTGAAAGACCGCGAGAACTATTTATGCATATTAGTTCTAAAATATTCATTGCATTACTCCAACAAATTTTTACCATAACAATAATAGTAGTAGTAATAATAATGCATTCAAAAAAATAATAGTACTAATAATAATAATAATGATAAAGAGTGAAAATTAGTTAAAAATAAGAAGAAATGAAGACCAAGTTGTTCCTAGAGAAGTGCAGTGCTTTTTAGCCTCCTTGGTTCACTCTCTTCCACAGCTTATTATAAATACCATTACACCCGCCACCACTCTCCGCCCATTCTCATCCATCCTCCACCACCACTTCGCCTTGATCATTCTAATCACCACCGTCGTCGTCGTCGTCGTCGTCAACCACCATGGTTCTGTCGAAGACCACCTCCCACACCGACGCCTCCGTCCAGTCCTCCACCTTCGCCTCCCGATATGTCCGCACCTCTCTCCCCCGGTACGCATCGAAAATTAGTAGCACATTGATATATATATATATAGATGATCTTTTTGTGAAAGGGCTAAAAATGAATTAATGTTTCAAACGGGTGGGAATGGGATATGGATATGGATGCGGCATATATATGCAGGTTTCAGATGGGGAAGGAATCGATCCCGAAGGAGGCGGCGTACCAGATAATCAACGACGAGCTGATGCTGGACGGAAACCCGAGGCTGAACCTCGCCTCATTCGTGACCACGTGGATGGAGCCCGAGTGCGACAAGCTCATCATGGCCTCCATCAACAAGAACTACGTCGACATGGACGAATACCCCGTCACCACCGANCCCCCCACACCCCACTCCTCCCTCGTTTCGTTTCCTTCTCAATCTTTGTTTAGGCGTAGACTGAATTCTAATTATGGAATTGGAATTGAGGACTTCAATTCCAATTCTGGTGTTTGGTAGCACATATATTATGTGGATTTGGAATTGATAGTGTAAAAAATGAATTTGAATTGGAATTGGTAAAATTCAATTCTATTGAATTGAATCTCATGAAATTTTAATTCCAATTCAATTCCAATTCCGTCAATTATGTATACCAAACGGATCCTTAATTAATTTCATCGAATTGAAGTCGTGTGTGTGACTCGGCGTCTGAGATCTGTCGACGAGTTCAGATATCATTTGTCTCATGTTTTTCCAACTTGGTTCTTTCCTCATCTCACACAAAGAAAGAAAGATACGAAACAATGAGTTGGAGACGGATTACAAATTATATTTGTAAAAGAAAAAAATGATTATTTTTTTAACAAACGAGAAAAAAATATAAAAAAAGTTGTTCCGAAGGACTGATTTGGCCAACTGGAAAATTGACACCCAACATAAAGTCAAGATATTGTCCTATTGGTGCTTTGATTATTCATAGGCATTTTTGTCCACTAGTGCATTTTTATTAACTAAATTTTTAAGAGATACAGTAATCTTTATACTCCATATTTTAAAAGAGATTTTTTTTTCCAACTTGTTATCCCTATGTGTCGGTTCCTTTGGCTTTAACTCTAATCAAAGTGCAAAGACTCTTAAATCTTGAACCATTCTATATTTAAGTACCCTTTAGAGTCTGAACACAAAAATAAAATTGAAATACTTTCACTGCTAAGAAACGGAGTAAATTTTATTTTTTTTAATTTTACACCTACTACCAAATAAATTAAATTAAAAATAAAGTCAGTCAAAATAACAGAAAGAAAATTTTTAGACGGAAAGAGTATTAAAAAATCGAGCATCTATCAACAAGTGCATCTGTCATGATTTAGAGCATCCGATCGATCTTTTGACATCAGACCATTTGAAAGTCATACGATACTCCACTGAAGTGGGGGGCACCTCCCCAAACCCCAAACTCCTGTATAGCATATTGCTAATCAAAATTAGTAGTCAAAAGAATCGTAACCAATGATTAACACTATGTTTGGTTCAAAGCATTTGGAAGAAAAAGAAAAAAAATGATTTTCTCTTGTTTTCTTCGTCAAAATGGGAAGAATCTAGATTTTCCTCCACGTAGTACATTTTTCTTCTCATTTTCTTTTCCTCAACTTTTTCTTTCTTTTCCTCTTTAACCAAACAAGAGAAATTATTTTCCACTTCATTTTTTTTTTCTCTTTCAAATTCTTTGAACCAAACGTAATGTAAAAGTAAAAAAAAAGGGAAGAAAATGAAAGTAATTGAGTGTGGGGCATGGCATATATATTGTAGAACCGATGTGTGAACATGATAGCGCATCTGTTCAACGCGCCGCTGGGGGAAGGGGAGGCCGCCGTGGGAGTAGGGACGGTGGGGTCGTCGGAAGCCATAATGCTCGCCGGATTAGCTTTCAAGAGGAAATGGCAGAACAAGATGAAAGCCCAGGGAAAGCCCACCGACAGGCCCAACATTGTCACCGGTGCCAACGTTCAGGTTCGTTTACTCTCTATTTTTTGGGCTCAACTTTGAACTTCTTGTTTTATACTCGTATTTATCAATATCCATAGATTTGGCCAATTATATCATTAATATTAGTCCTAAAAATTATTTTGCACACCAATACTTAGAAAAATCATCTTTTTCAAATCAAAGTGGTCAAATTTTAATCTTTAATAACTCTCAATTTGTATTGTATATTAGTAAAATAAAATAAATTTTTGAAAATTTTCAACTAAATAAACCTAATTATATTATTTTTACATCAACATACATTATACAGTTTATACTCCATCCGTCCTAAAATGAAATTCTCAGTTTCACTTTTGTGGTCAAATTGATTGAACTTTGATTGCATATTGCGGGAAAAATAAATTGAATTTTAATACTCCGTATAAGTTTAATATCAATAGATTAATTTTAAAAACAAAAGTTTAAAGTATTTTATTTTTATATTCGCAGTATATAATTATATAAATAGAGATATTAATGATCAATGTTGCATTGGAGACTATGAGAAGTCAAACGAGAAGTTAGTTAATTTTAGGACAAAGGGAGTACGTAGTTTTCTTTTTTATTTAATCGACGTCCGAAATCAATCGAATTCAACTCGAAAAATTCAAACTGAACGAACTTGTGACGCAATGAAATGTGAAGGTATGTTGGGAGAAATTTGCGAGGTACTTTGAGGTGGAGCTGAAGGAGGTGAAGCTGAGGGACGGGTACTACGTGATGGACCCGGAGAAGGCGGTGGAGATGGTGGACGAGAACACCATCTGCGTGGCGGCCATCCTGGGGTCCACCCTCAACGGCGAGTTCGAGGACGTCAAGCGCCTCAACGACCTGCTGGCGGACAGGAACCGGGAGACGGGGTGGGAGACGCCCATCCACGTGGACGCCGCCAGCGGCGGCTTCATCGCGCCGTTCATCTACCCGGAGCTGGAGTGGGACTTCCGGCTGCCGCTGGTGAAGAGCATCAACGTCAGCGGGCACAAGTACGGGCTGGTTTACGCCGGGATCGGCTGGGTCATCTGGAGGAGCAAGGAGGACTTGCCTGATGAGCTCATCTTCCACATCAATTATCTCGGTGCTGATCAACCCACTTTCACTCTCAACTTCTCCAAAGGTAAACTTCTTTTTTAAATTCATTTCTAAAACTTCTTCTTGTTTTTACTTTTTTAGTCAAACATTGATACCTTTTGACGATAAATTATATTTAATTTATGGTCAAAAACTCAAAATGTTATTGTTTAATCAAAAAAGTCAAAACAAGAGAGTATTAAATTGTATTCTTGTTGGATGGTGCAGGTTCAAGCCAAGTAATTGCCCAATACTACCAACTAATTCGATTGGGTTTTGAGGTGAGCATATATAACTATTAAAATTAACCACTTGCATATAAAGTTGGGATTCACTACTCTAATCCAAAAGCTTAAACTGATAAGTAGAGCTTCACCCTTCTTTATATGTATTCATCTTTATTTTCTGATGTAGGAATTTCAACAATAAGGAATAATAGTCCGATCCGTAGTAGCTAATGTATTACGGAATAAAAATTTTATACATAAAAAAATGTTTTGTTAATTAATTCTTATTATTATAACCTGCTACCAAATTTTGGGCACGTAAAAATATAATGTTCATCACATACAGGGCTACAAAAACATAATGGAGAACTGCCAAGAGAATGCAATAGTGTTGAGGGAAGGGCTGGAGAGCACAGGTAAGTTCAACATAGTGTCAAAGGACAAGGGGGTCCCCCTGGTGGCCTTCTCCCTGAAGGACAACAGCCGCCACACGGAGTTCGAGATCTCCGACGTCCTCCGCCGCTACGGCTGGATCGTCCCCGCCTACACCATGCCGCCCAACGCCGAGCACGTCACCGTCCTCCGAGTCGTCGTCCGCGAGGACTTCTCCCGCACCCTCGCCGAGCGCCTCGTCAAGGACGTCCAGAAGGTCTTGGAGGAGCTCGACTCCCTCCCCGCCAAGGTCGGCGCCCGGCTGGCGGCGGCCGCCGAGGAGACGCCCGGCGTCGACGTCGCGGTGCAGAAGAAGAGCGAGCGCGAGGTCACGCTCGAGATCACCACGGCGTGGAAGAAGTTCGTTGCTGATAAGAAGGTCAAGACTAACGGCGTCTGTTAACGTTACATGTGCGCTATAATATATGGGACGATCTTAATAAAAAAACGAACTTAATTATGGAGTAGTTTGCAAGGGAGAACCCTTAATTAGCATGTGGTTCATCCTTGCTTATAATATATGGACGCTTATTCTCACCAAATGCTCTTGATTTATATATATACTCTTGATTTATGAAGACCCTTTTATATTATCTCTATACTTTTATAATGTAAGTCTTCCATATATGGAATAAAGGACACACAATATCGTATAGTATTTGTTTATTTGTTATGAAGATATGGTTTTATTGTGACTTGCTTGTACTTTATTTAATTGATCTTTTTTGTGTCATTTTACCATGAATTCTTCATAAAATGTACGAAATATATTTTTTATGAACTTTAAGAAATGTGCCATTAATTCCTATGTTTTATATCAAATACATGTTTTTATCCTTAATCCTTTAAAAAGTGTTTGTCTGTCTTGTGAACCTTCAAAAGTGCACTATTAGTTGCTAGACTTTTTTTATTACTCCGTATTTATAAAACATGTTATATATTTTAGTGTAATTGGAAAAATTACGACCAATGGTATCCTAATAATCATCAAAGAAGTTTGGTGGTGCGGAGTGCACACTTCATTGAGTTTGTTACGATATAAAACCCGTTACACCGGGGGTTTCAAGGGGGCAGCGCCCCCTTGGCGGGGGTTCGGGGGCAGCGCCCCCGAGCAGGGTTCAAGGGGCGGCAGCCCCTGCGGGGTCCAAGGGGCAGAGCCCCTGGCTAGGGTCGATGCTATGTTAAAAAAAATTCAATTAGAATTTTAATTTCAAATTTTCTTTAAAAGAAAATTCGATGGATAGGACCGAATTTTGAAGAAGAAACTTCCGCACGAAGAGTTGCGTGCTTTGGGTAATAGCCGCGAATGGTGTCTTCTCCTTCTCACCCCTAGTCTATAAAATCCCCTTGGGCATGGTCGAATTTCGTTCGGTTTTTACACAGCAATTCTCATATTTCGTTCTTGATACTTTCGAGTTTTATCCGATTGAATTTTGGAGTGAACAACTAAAATATTCAATCTGAAAGTGTTTACACAACTCTCGATTCATCCAAGTTATCATTAATTTCCCCAACAAAACACATGTTTTCTTGTTGAACTTTCAAAAGGATACATTAGTCGGCCTTAAAGATGCACCCTCCTCTAGTCCTATGGTATATTTTTCACCTAGCCAAGGGGGGGCAATTGGTCTAATTAAGTTAGATAGGGTAGTGGTCTAATTAAGGTTTTTTTTTTTTGAAAAAAATGGTAATACTATTAATTCAAGATCAATACAACGTCTCACACATATGTGCTGGAGGAACAACAATCCACTCCAACCAATTGATCAGATCCAGAATCAACCGTTCGAGCAAGCATATGAGCCACCTGATTCGTTGATCTTCTAACAACTGACAATATGAGATATTCAAAGTCTCGCATCACCCTCTAACCCTCTTACATTCATAAACAAAACCCATAAAATAAGAAGAAACCTCCACATCATCTTGGAATGCCTTAAAAATAACCTCGCTATCGATCTCCACCACAAGTTCATGATGCTTGTTGAAAGTCGTCCTCAACCACTTTAATGCCTCGTGGAACCCTTTTGCTTGAGCTATCTGAGAATCCTCTAACCGGCGTAGTCCAACATGTGCCCCCAAACAAAATCACCATGTGCATTGCAAAGAACCATCTCGGCCTTCGCTAGCTTTGTTTGCGGGTGAAAACTCGCGTCAACATTGCTTTTAAGCACATCTCCCTTCAGGGCCTGCCATAACCACCCGCCGATCCAGGCCCTCCTCACTCCTCCGCACATTACCTGGCCTAAGCCGTCGGCCATTTCTGTAGTTCTCGAATTGCCTTCGTCACAAGTGTTTTTGGCGCCATGCATTCCTATCGTCTGCCATTCTTTAGTAATTAAAGTGTTAATATAATTTTCCACTCTACTGTAAAAAATTTGTAAGAACACATTTTTTGCCATTCTTTTTTGAAAAAATTATCCAGAATAATCACAATTTTATCCGATTTTCCAAAAATAATTTCAACTTCCACTAATGATGCATAATAATCTCAATTATACTGAAATTTGAAAATTTTGGGTCTTCGTTAAGTTGCTAACGAAAGGTTAATGGAAACGGTCTGTTTTGAGCAACAAAATGAAAGTTGAAATTATTTTTTATGAATTTTTATTTCTAATATTTTTTTGAAATTTTCATTTAAATTTTTAAAATAATGTAATCAATTTTAAAATAAGGTAGAAATTTATTTTAAAAATTTAAATGAAAATTTCAAAAAAAGATTAGAAATAAAAATTTATGAAAAATGATCTCAACTTTCATCTTGTTGCGCAAAAATTGAAATTTACGTTAACCCGTCGTTATCAATTTAATAGCGATCCAAAATTTACGAATTTCGACAAAGTTGAAATTATTATACATCACAGTAAACAAAATAATTTTTAAAGCAGGTTTTCCCTCTTTTTCTCGGAGGAACCTTCAGAAATTGGACAAAGGTTTATTTTGGGGCCAGAATGAAAAATACTCCGTAAAACCTTTACACTATGTTTGGTTCAAGGAATTTGAATGTGGAAATAAAAGAAAATGGGGTGGAAAATAGTTTTTCATGTTTGGTTGGAGAGGAAAATTGGAAGGAAAAGAAAATGAGAAGAAAAATGTACTAAATGGAGGGAAAACCAAATTCCTCCCATTTTGGTGAGGAAAATGAGAGAAAATCGTGTTCTTTTCTTTTCCTTCCAAAATCCTTCAACCAAATATAGTGTTAATAAAAGGAAATTAGGAGTTAGCTCAGAGGGCGTACTCCGCCGCTGCCCAGTTTCGTCGGCGATCGACGACCGTCGTCAATTCGTTCTCCCTCTCCGGCGTCACTCAGGTATTCTCTTCCCACCTCCGATCTGTATACTCCGCCGTATCTCGCCGCCTCTCTCTCTTTCCTGCTCCTAGTCTATGCCTCTCTCTTTCCTATTCCAATTCCTTGGCTATTTTATGATGTGTGCTCTACTGGTTTGATTTTGTAATTGTGTCATATATTGTTTATTTTATTTTTTTGGATATTCCAATGTGTGGAAAATTGAGATTTCCTCTTAACTCTTCTATTTTGCTTCTCTCCATAGTTGATTCTGTGCAATTTTACTCCGTGTAGTCTCTACTGGTGTGATTTTTCCTAGTGTCACGAATAATTTTTTTTTTGATTGAATTAAGTGTGGGTTAATTGTAATATGTTTGATTTACTTAAAACTAGGACAGTTGTGATATTTTGCGAATATTTTGAACATAAAAACATGTATCTTAAAAAAAATGTACGGAGTATAAATTAGAATGGATTGCATGATTATAAGATCGTTTATGGGTTTTTTCATGTTTCTTGGATTTCTTTCTTTCATGTTTGAACCCATTGTCGTTTTAAATCTTGCAGGCATTTGTTCCTCACTATCCGAAGAGTAATATTTATTGACATTTGGAGTTGTCGACATATTGGTTCTGCTTTTAGGATATGAAGATGTATGCATTTAGTTATTTACATGTCAAACACATCTCTTTTATTCAAAACGGATTGAAAATTCACAAAGTTTTTTGCAGACTTGAAGCAAATGCCGGTCCACTTACCAATTTTGAAGTGTTTGAGTTTCTAAGGTCAAAAGATGCCGTGAAGGATCCTACACTGGCCTTGCTTCCAAACATTGCATCTGAGTATAAGGTTTGATTTTCTATGTCGTCAATGGAACTTTGAAGTTATGATATAGCTTATTGTTCACGGTGTTTTTTTTTATATTGAAGGTTTTTGAATATCTGGAGAAAAGTGGTTGCAAGCATCTGACTAGAGAAGTTATCAACGAATTTTTGGAGAAATGTAAAAGCTTCAAACTATCAAAAGCTGAGATGTTGAATATCATCAATATCATGCCCAAATCTGCGGTTGAACTTTTCCCGGTAATGTTTTGCTTCTTTGTTCCATGGCAATGACACATTCTATAGAACTCTTTTGAGAGCCCGTTTAGTGGGCGCATGAGATATGGGATATCAAAACACTTTTTTTTTGGGAGTTTAGTGAAGTCTAAACAATGTTCTAAAACTTCGGATTTAATTTCGTGATATCGAAACCCTCTCAAACAGGGTTGTTTTTATACCTCTTGAATTTGGAAGATACATCAATATGATATCAATTCAGGCGTTTGATATCTTTCTCAACCGCCATCAAACCCACTGCTTCCGGCCACTGGTCACACACACCCCCTTTTTGGCCTCTAGAATTGCCACCGACCTGTTGCTGACCACCCTCCACCGACCACCCTACCGTGTTTTTGGGGGGTATTTTAGGCATTTTAGGCGGAGTGCAAGTGTTTTGTGAGTTGCACAAAAAAATGAAGGTGGAGCTATTTTTCAAAATGGAGAGTGTTTCAAATTTCATAACCCATAATATATATCACCCCTCCAAAACTTCCAAACAAGCCCTTTTCCCCTTTATTCCTGCAGGTTACAACATGTTTTCTAAATGGTAGAAATTATTCTCATATGACAAAGTGAAGGGTGAAGAACAGAGGGCGTTTCATTTCTTTCTGTGTGTGTATACTAAAATGTATTGTTCATTCTCACACAGATCATAGAGGCATGTGATACTCGTGATGATGATGAAAGTACAATGTTGAACGCGCTAGTGGCAATAGTCAAAGAGGTCTTGCTTGCAGGCACACCATCACCTCCGCCTGTGATAGAAGAGATTGAAGTGGCTCACGAGGAAAATGGCGTTGAGGCTGATAAATAGAAACACTTGACCAAGGGTATTGTTGTCTTTTCCACCCGATTTTCTTTCAGTTGGTTTGTACTTTTGTAGACCAGGTTAGCACTCGCTCTACAGAGCACCACAGAGGCTCGTGTCTTGTTATGACACCAACTTCTGGGGTCAAAAGAGCCTTGGTTTTAAATAGTGTTTGCTTGGAAAGAAATGTTTTATCTGCAGAAAGTACTCTTGCATTGCCTTTGGGAAAAAAATCACAAAGATATGATAATTTTAATGAAATTAACAAGTTAAATGCGTATTATGTTTTCGAATTATACTATGTATATATACACCCAAATTGTTTATAAATAGGGTTCGTTAGACAAACCATTCTCTAAATAAGACAATAAATTTTTATTCTTTAAGATAGAATTTAATTAATTAATTAATAATTATGGAGTTCTTCTTCGACGTATTTTTTTCTCTCTTGAGTTTTTTGCACTATTTAGTATTTACTCTCTAATTTTTTAAAAATTGTATAGATTTCTTCTCAACTTAAAAAACTATAGTAATAGTCCCTGAACATTTAAAAATATAAGATCAATGGTTGTTAAAACTTGTATCCTCGGTTCCATTTGGAAAATTTTAAAAATCTACAAACTTATCAAATTTAGAAACTTAAGAAAAAAAATAAACTAAAAAAATTGGTACCACACAAAACCACCAGTTTTGGTACCCCATTTTTAGAACCGAAACTGGTCCTTCCCCATCCAATTTCGAAAGTCATTAACTTGTGTAAATTGATTTTCAGAAAAGTTGAAAACAAAAATATCTTATGGGCTTGTAGATAGTTTTTTCAAAATGACTAATCTCTAACGTTATCTCCAAACAGACGCTGTATCCGCTTCTTTGAAATAGTGTTCTGTGTAAAAGATGTGATGAAGAAAGGCAGGAATGGATATGTTAAACAGAATAAAAAGCTACCATCCAAAGCAGATGTTAAATACTTAAAAAATGTACCGCGCTACCAAACACTCCCTAAAAGTTTGTTTTCTTCAACTTATTATTACGAATACTTATTACTCCCTATGTTTCGTAGTATTTGTTCATTTTTTACTTTTTTCGATCAAAATTGATAAACTTGACCAAAATTAGAAAATGATATTAGATACGAAAATGATTTTATTTGATTTATTATATAAAATATTTCAAAATATTATTTTATCTAATTAATATATAATATACGGAGTATATTTTATTTAATTATAGTTCAAAGTTGAAAATAGTTGACTGAAAAAAATCAAAATTAAACAATTACTCTGAAACAAAAGTGGTATAATTTTTTATTAGAAATTTAGAATCACATATGACAAGCAGTTTTAAAATAATTACAACCAGATCAAATCAAACATTAATAAAATCACAGGGTTAAAAAGGGACATGGTTAACTTTTATTCCCTTTTTCAACTATGAATCTCACCTGGTATCTTTTATTTACCAGTCTCCCTGATATAAGTAAGAGCATAAAAATCAGGCGCGCGTTTCATTTCGGGCTCGCGGTTAATTAAGCCAGCCAGAGAGGGAGATCGAGATCTGGCTCCCCTTCTCTCTCCGTTTTCTTGATCTCAATATATATATATATACTCATACACACCGACACGTGAAAGCAAATGGGGAAGAAGATGGCGTCGGCTTCCTACGCTATCGTTCTGTTCATAGTCTGCTTCGCGCTGCCGCCGGCGACATCGGATTCATCTGATCACAGGTACAGTCGCGGAGATTCAGTGCCTCTGTACGCCAACAAGGTCGGACCTTTTCACAATCCGAGGTAATCATCCATCAAATTCCCGCTATTAGATCTCTTCATCGGCTCGTTCGTTCTGTTGTGCCGAATGCGTGATTTGGATCGGTGGATGTTTTGATGAGCGATGAATTTGTGCCTTTGTTCATGGGGATGTTGTGATCTGATGCCTTTTCTTAGCTTTTAGTTTACTGCAGTTCGGTACTAATTGGAACACGAGAACATCCAATCTCTAAGTTCAGTGATTACAATGAGCTGTCTCTGAATTGTTTCTTTGGTGTGCAACAAGTTTTTTTCGTTTCCATGATAGGTTGATTGCGAAAGGCTTGGACATTCGAATAGTTCAAAATTAGGATTGACTTTTGGAAACTATGTAGGCAATGGGGGTGTTCTCTAGTCAGACTTGAATTGAGTGTTGCTCCATATGAGCTATGTAGGTTATTTCTTATTAGGCTGAATCCTGCATCAGGTTTGTGATTCGATAGAGTGTGATTCATGATTCATAATCTATAATCCAAAGATGAAGCATGGGAGATGGATTAGTGGTATTTAAATTATGCACAAAATATTACGGAGCATTAAAGAGTTGGGTGTGATTAAAGTGCAGGGAACAGTTCATATTCACCCATGTGCACTTCTTTAAGGATGTTATCTTATAACCAAAGGCTAGGGATGACCTCGAGTGAAGATATTAAGCATCTACTCTAACCCACTACGAGTACCAGCCCAAATTTAATAGTTTTATTTTATTTAGTAAATTAGGTAATGAGCACTATAATTCTAGTGTTTCACACACTAATTGGTGGGATTAAGGTGCCAATAATGATGATGAACTTGTATTAACTTTTGATTACTCCCTCAGCCCCAAAACAAGTCCTGTATGGGAAACTTGTGTATAAACTTGTTTTTGTCTCCCAAAGATGAGTCCAAATTGAACAAATGAAGTTAATTTTCATCATACTTAATGTTTATTATAAAAAATGTCTGGAAACAGAGGAAGTGGATACTACCTTTGCTAACACTTTTATTCTAAATATAATTTTAAATAATTTGTGTAAACTGTGATGTCCTAAAGTCCAAACATTTAATTATCACCATATACTCACAAGTCAAAAAGTATACTTGAATTAAAAAGTCATACAGAGTATTCTTGATGGTAATTTTGAAGACTTATGTATACATTTTTATTCAATGCTGACAATGCATTACATATTGGTAATAAAATGTAAACACACAATATTATTGACAAAAGATATTTCTCCCTCCGTCCCAAAATAAAAGTCCAATTTGACTGGACACAAAGTTTAATAAAAGTTTTGAGAAGTGAAAAGAGTGTTGTTGAAATGGTTTTGGAAGAAAGAAAATAATGATAGCCACACATTCCTTACATGAAATGGAAATGAGACTTTATTTTGAGACAAGCAAAAAAAGGAAGTGTATTGTTTGTTTTGGGACGGATGTAGTATTTTATTACATGTACACAGGCACGTTGGAGGTAGAACGGGGAAATAGTGGCTGGTGTTTTATTAGTTTGAGCCCAACCCACAACCCACCAGACTTCCAAACCCAACATATGCGAGCCAGGTGGGGCTTGTTATGCATGGATTAGACATAGATTTCCATTACAATATAAGACAGTCCTACTTTGTTTAACCAAACAACTTTTAATTTTTCTGGGAATTTCGCTAGTTATTACAAAACATTATGCATTGAATCTTTTTAGGAACTAACAGTCTTTTCTGGAGGAAGACAACATTAGTACACAGTTAAACAATTACTCATGGGTTGATTGGATTCAATGCTCTATGTTATTATGAAATATACAGAAATTAGATCCATAAAATTTGAATAAACTTTTAAGAATGTGATATGTGAGTAATGCTAGTAGTTGGCATGGGGGAGGTGATGATGTCTTTCTGATGTGTTGCTAATGGCATGATTCTCGTTTTGGCCATCTTGCAGTGAAACATACCGTTACTTTGATCTTCCTTTCTGTCACCCAGGTTAGATATCTTGTAGGATACAATATTAAATCTCAAATCTATTTTGCTGGTGTTATTTTGAATGTATTAATGGATTTTGGGCAGATGATGTGAAAGTGAAAGATAAAAAGGAAGCGCTAGGTGAAATCTTAAATGGTGACCGTTTGGTCACTGCACCTTACAAGCTTGACTTTATGCATGATAAGGACTCAGAAACTGTATGCCAAAGGAGACTGTCATGGAAACAAGTTGCACAGTTCCGTGAAGCTGTTGCAAAGGATTATTATTTCCAAATGTACTATGATGACCTGCCATTTTGGGGGTTTCTGGGGAAAGTTGATAAGGAAGGAAAATCTGACCCTAGTGAATACAAATATTACCTATTCACGCATCTTCACTTTGAGATCTCGTACAACAAGGATCGTGTGATTGAGATTAATGCACGAACTGATCCGAATGCCCTTGTTGACATCACTGAAGACAAAGAAGTTGATGTAGACTTTGTGCATTCTGTGAAATGGAAAGAAACAAACACACCTTTTGAGAAGAGGATGGAAAAGTACTCCCAGTCTTCATCTTTGCCTCATCACTTGGAAATTCATTGGTTTTCAATTATCAACTCCTGTGTGACTGTTCTCCTCTTAACTGGATTTTTGGCCACTATTCTTATGCGGGTCCTTAAGAATGATTTTGTAAAGTAAGTGGCATTTAAAATTTATAAATTAATGAATTGTTAATTCTAATTGAATAAAAAGTGTCTTGCCAGCCTTTAATGATTGTGAATTCTTGCATAAATTGAAAGGTATGCTCATGATGAGGAGACTCTTGATGACCAAGAAGAAAGTGGATGGAAGTACATTCACGGTGATGTTTTTAGGTACCCAAAATACAAGTCTTTGTTGGCTGCAGCCCTTGGTTGTGGTACCCAGCTATTTACCCTGTAAGTATGCCTTGGACCTCTTTTTTGACCAGTTTAGTACAACTCTCTTAGTTTAATTATACCTCTGTCCTAAAAAAGAACTCCTTTTTGACCAATGCACATTTTTTTGTTTTTTGGTTTATCTTAACTTATCATATAGAACTTGTCTAGGACATTTTAAAGACAGAGGGTGTATTAAAATTTAAGTGAGATTTTAATCTCAATGATTTTTTTCCTGACCATGCTTATATTCTACTAGGACAATCTTTATTTTTTTCCTTGCACTGGTTGGAGTGTTCTACCCTTACAACCGAGGAGCTCTGTTCACTGCTTTGGTTGTCATATATGCTCTCACTTCTGGAATTGCTGGCTACACTGCTGCCTCTTTCTATTGCCAACTAGAAGGAACAAACTGGGTATGGCTTTAATCAATGCGTTTTTTGAGTTTAAAGTGTGATCTTTATGTTTCGTAAGTTTTCATGTTAATTGAATTTTGTTTCCTTTTATGCCTTTTTCTCAGGATCTATTAGTGAGCACCACTAACATGATTGCTCAAATGTGAAATCAATGTGACTAGTGTTTATTGAATCACTTTTATATTTAAAGATATGCATTTAAAAGTGGGTAAAAAGCATTATGGTTCCCTAACTATGTGCACTTGCAATATGTCAACATTTTCATCTTGAAGCCATCAAAAATTGCAAAGTTTATCAGAAAGTAATGCTAAAATTGGAGATCCAGTTAATGGGTTTTGCATTGACACTTTCATTCCACTAAAAAATGAATAGAAACATTTAAGTGAATAAAGATTTAAAATTATGGCAATTAGCTTTTTTTTTATTTAAAAAAAATTGATTTTATCTTTAAAAAAATGAAATAAAATTATCATGTTAGCACCTGTTCGCCGAATTCCCATTGCGAACGCTATGTTCTCGGGGGATTTTACATTTTCTGGTGACTTTGGAACTAATTATTCGACATTTTGAAAGGGATATATTTAAATTATGAAAAAATCCACAATGGGACTAATTCTGCCTATCTCCTATAGTTACAGGACCAAAAAATGTATTTTACCCATTGATGGTGAATCAATCAATATCAGAATAATAAAGAATTATTACCGGTTTACAGGTCAGGAATTTGCTATTAACCGGAGCATTGTTTTGTGGACCCCTGTTCCTCACATTCTGTTTCTTGAACACGGTAGCAATTGTTTACAGTGCCACGGCAGCACTTCCATTTGGTACCATTGTGGTCATCTTGCTGATATGGGCCCTTGTGACATCACCTCTGCTTGTCTTGGGAGGAATTGCTGGAAAGAATAGCAAGGCCGAGTTTCAAGCTCCATGTCGTACTACTAAATACCCAAGAGAAATACCGCCTTTACCTTGGTATCGCGGAGCTCTACCCCAGATGGCAATGGCTGGTTTTTTGCCTTTCAGTGCCATATACATAGAACTTTACTACATATTTGCCAGTGTGTGGGGCCACAGGATCTACACCATCTACAGCATCTTATTCATTGTCTTCATTATTCTCCTCATTGTTACAGCCTTTATTACTGTCGCACTGACCTACTTTCAACTTGCCGCTGAAGACCATGAGTGGTGGTGGAGGTAAGTTATGTGTTTTTTTACTATTCTTTTGTTTCCTAGGCAGATTTTGGTACACACGAAATGATTTTTTCACCATTCTATAGAAATATTTTCTTGTGGAAGTTACATTTTTTGTGTTTTGTGTGTTGCTGAACAGGTCATTCCTTTGCGGAGGATCAACTGGGTTATTCATCTATGCGTACTGTCTCTATTACTACTACGCACGTTCGGACATGTCAGGCTTGATGCAAACTTCCTTCTTCTTCGGCTACATGGCCTGCATTTGCTATGGCTTCTTCCTCTTGCTCGGCGCCGTTGGTTTCCGTGCTTCCTTATTCTTTGTTCGTCACATTTACCGCTCCATCAAGTGCGAGTGACGAAAAATGAAGTCCGCGGCGTACGTCCTCCTCCACATGGTAAAAAAAACTTGGTAAGGCCTTGAGGAGCACCTTGCAGTGTAGAACCCTAGGGGTTCTTTTTTTTTTTTTTTTTTACTCAAGAGGAAAGGTTGTATTGTTTTTTTTTTACCACTGTCTCACTTTTGAAATCTATACATATATAGATACATATAGTATATATTTCACCCCCACGAGTTCTTTTAACACCTGTTTTGGATGTCATAATATGACACCAAGGCTATATAATACTCTGTGGGAGTTTGAAGTGTTTTCGTCCCTAACCCCCAAAGTCCCTTTGCCCCCTCAACCCTTGGAAAATGTCGAAATGCTATAGTAAGTATAGGTGTAGCATTTTGTGGTGGGATGAGGGGAGGGGGGGTAGCGGGGGTAAGAACCACTTCAGGCTCCCACGGAGCACCGTGGGACCTCAAAGTGCTTTAGGAAAAACCAAAAATTGAAAGAAGAACTATTTTAAAAACGGAGAGAATATTAAATACTCCACAAAGCATAGACACACAACCACCGTTGCAACAAGATAAAATATTTAAAAATAACAGACTACTTTTTTCTTTTTAAAAATTACTTTGTCCATCCTTGAATATTTACCTACTTTTTACCAGTATTTTTTTAGACAAATTGGATAGATTTGGACAATCAATTAAATAAAAAAATTATGCCTTATATTTATTCAAGGAAATAAGTTTTGTGAAACTTTCAGTAAAATAAACCTAAGTTATTTTTGTATCAATATTCAATGCAAAATCATTATTTAATTGATGAAAAAATTCGTGTAACTAGTTTGTTTCAAAATTATTAAACACTTAATTTAAACAAATACAGAATACTCTAGAATGGAGATAATACATGCTAATTCTACTTTGTATATCTGAATCAAGATAATACGCTTTAATATTATGTTTGATTCAAAAAATTTGAAAAGGAAAATAAAATAAGATGGAAAATGAATTGTCTTGTTTAGTTAAAAAAGAAAATAAAATAAAAATGAAAAGAAATGAAAATGAAAAAACAAAATGTATGAGCAAAAAAATTTCCCTTTTTGGTAAGAAAATGATTTTCTTTTCAAATTCTTTGAACTAAAGATAGTCTAAATATATAAATTTAGTATCTTTGAGGTGAACCAAGAAGTCTTGACCTTGGGCATGTTTAATTTGAGAATAAAGTTAGAAGTTAGCATTTTGAAAAAGTTATGTGTGGGCAGTGCTTAACGATAGCATTTTCAAAGTTAATCTACACTGTTAAATTCTATCAAAACGCTAATGTTAATTGAAAATGTCATTTCCATATGGCCCCTTGTCATTCCAAATTCTGCGAAGAACAAAATGACAAAAATACTCCTACATAAAAAAAACTTCCTAAAGAATTACCCGTGTACTTGGAGCTTACATATTGAACACGTTGAAAAATTTCTCTAACTTCTCCCTTTGTTTCTTAAAACACTCCATTATTCATTTTTTGTTTTCCCGAAAGTATTTTGGCTTTCTATTAAAAAACCACTTTTATCTCTATTTTTACTTATCCTGGTTATCAAACCATACTTTTTCACCAATAGTCTATCCATTATATCTTACTTTTACAAATCACATTAAGAACACAATTAGAAAGTCAATCTTAAATATACACTCTTTATTTCACATAAAAGTAAAAAAAAGGTAGCGGAGGGAGTAAATTTTTTTAATGGGACGAACGGGACATATATAATCCATATATATGTCATCAATTACATTAATTAAATTTACATTGCATAATAATACAATAAAATAAATTTCTTATAATTTTCTATAAAATAAATCCAATAAAAATCATTTCTATACTAAAATCTTACCATTTTTATTCCATTCATGACAAAAAAAATTAGTTTCACTCCCAAAAATCAAACTAAGTACTTCAAACTCCACCAGTGACACTCCCATTGAAGATCTCAATGGTGTCACCCTGGCCCACATTGTGCCACCTAAATGAGCGATCATCATCCATCACATTCTGCTTGTATATGAAGAAATACCCTTCTTCCGGCAACTCCATTTCCTCTTCCTTCATCCTTTTCATTTTTTCCAACTCCTTTCTCAGTTCGCAGACGTTTCCCGCCGGATTCACCTCCGCCGCGTACCTCTTCGTCCCGCACTTCGACACCACCGTCACCCGTAGAAGCTTCCTCGGGCCCACGCTCCCGCTCCCCAACGACCCAGACGACGTCGCCGGAGAAGGCCTTTTCACGGCGACGTCTATTTCCGAGCCGTCGGGGAGCTCGTAGTCGGCCACCGCCCGGCTGTCTGATAGCTCGGCGCCGCTCGCGTGGGCGGTGTCCGTGGGGTCCACTTCGAGGGAGATTCCGGGGGCCTCAGACCCCCGGAATCTCACGCGGAGGGGCTTGCGGCGCGGCGGAGGAGGAGGAGGAGGAGGAGAGGTGGGGGAGCGGGCGGCGGCGGCGGGGGATACGACGAGGTGAATGTGGGAGTTGTGGAGGATGTCGGAGTTGTGGACGTCGACGTCATCCGGGAGGACTTTCCCGGCGAAGATTAGGGTTTGGGCGGCGGCGGGGATGCGGCGGAGCTTCTGGATCTTTTCTTTGATCTCGGAGATGGTGTCGAAGAAGCCGACTTCAATGGTGAAATGGGAGCCTTTTTCGGGATGAAAGATCAAATCCATTGCTTCATTGAATCTGATAATTGGTTAGGGTTTTAATGTTTACTTCATTTCCATAACTAACAGAGTGTTTTTTTTTTCCTTCAGAAATCAAAATGGTTATTTATATAAACAAAAGCGAGCATTATTGATAGATCATATCAGGGATTCTGTTATAACGGATTATTGTTGTTATTCTATTATTATTATTATTATTATTATTATTATTATTATATTATTATTATTATTATTATTATTATTATTATAGTTGTTGTTGTTGTTGTTGTTATTATTATTATTATTATACAAAAATTCCTTCCGTACAAATTTCAAATTGCAAAAAATTCCATATTCTTGACAATTGTACAAAATCATACTACAAATTGTTTTTTAAAAAAAGTTTAATATTGTAGCGGCATTGAATTACGGAGTATAGTTTTTATTCGATTTATGTTCTATTCCTTCCATCCCACGAAATATTTCTAGTTGGAAAAAACTGCAAATTTTAAAAATGTACCGGGTATAATTTTGACATTTTTTCTAATTCTGCATTTACTTTATAATAAGGTGTAAATGATACGGTCTGTTGGATAGAAGATGGGAAATTGGAAAACAACACCAAAGTTACAGAATTTTAAAACCCGCCTTTTTTTTAAATAGAAAATATTTTTTGGGACGGAGAGAGCATATTATTTTCAAAATGTTTTTTCATGTAATTAGTATACTTTGTAATTTTTATATAATTATAGACCAAAGTTCGATATTTGTTTATTGCAAAAAGTCAAAATTAAATGAATAATCTTGAAGCATGGTGGGAGTAATTAATAAGTGTAACAAGAATAATTTGAAAAAGTGCGCTAATAATTTTTTAAATCATTATTGGAAAAAAATTAGAAGAAACTAGAGGACGTTGGGAAAAACTAGAGGACGTTGGAAAATTTTGAAAAGAGTTATACCAAACTAGAAGATACTGTAATTAAAAAACTACAGTAGAAAAAAGAATGAGAAGAAATTAGATGAAAAAACTGAAAAAACTAAAAAGTGATATAAGAAGTAATAAAATGTTTAAAATTAACATTCCATCCAAAAGAACATACCCTGAATACAATATCTTTGTCCCACAAAACTTTTCTTTCTACTTTGGAATAAAGTGGAATTTAAGAATGGTGTAATTCTAATTTTACTTTCTGGTTTAATATAATTTTGTGATAACTTTATTGTGAGATATGATATGATGTGATGCGTAAATTAAAAGTAGAATTAGAAAATATTTTTCGAGACAGATGAAAAGTGAAATTAGAAATGTTTTTTTAGGAAAGAGGGAATACCAAATATTAAGTTCATATAGTTTCATCTCTTCCTAATGTTTACAATATATTTTTGATAGATTAAAATTTATGAGTACTCAAAAAAATATGAGTACTCATATTAATATACATTCGCCATCGCTTTGAAGAACACATATCTAGCCAGTCAAACTTATTAATATTTTTTACTTAATTGGTTTATGCTTATAGGAGTATAAAATATTCCGGGAATATCTATTTTTTACATTCACCAAAACGTCCAAATTTTGACTAATAGGGGATATGTAGAATATATATTTATAGTTGATATGATTTTCTAATTTAGCCTTTGATAAAATGGGTACGTAAAATGTGATGGATAAATTATTAGTAAAAAATATAATGTAATAAGTAGGAACAATTTTGATCCAGTTTGTAAACAAGATTAAGAAGCAAATCACTACACTAAATTAGAATTAAAATTCTATGAAATTGAATAGGATGAGATTCAATCCTAATTCAATATATAGGCGCTGCGGAATCTTACAAATATAAATGATGGCACTGCACTGAAAAACATGCAGCTTTTATATATGGGCATTTAACTTGTCATATATGCATATACGTGATCGATGATGGAGTTACTAACCATATATAGATTGAAAACGACATGCATGAGGGCAACAATATATTCATGAAAAAGCTGCATTAAAAAATGATGAATAGAAGTGTATTTTGATATTAGGTTTCTAAAAATGTCCTTGAAAGTGATGAGTAAAGTATGTTTTGATAGGTAGATTAATAGTGAAATGATGTGATAGGTAATTAAGAATTAGTAAGGATAAAAATAATTTTTTAATAGAAATGAGGAAAGTTTTTCGGAACGGATGAAAAATGAAAGGAGAAATATTTTCAAAGAGAGAGGGAGTATATAGTACTATGGCTTCATTCCAAATTTACTTCAATTCATAGCTCAACCAAACATTCAATTCAAGACTCATTTAGTACACATATAGTTTTGACCAACTTGTCTTTTTTATTTTTCAATTAAAACAATTTTTTTTTTTTGCAAATTGCAAAATCGAAGTTTGCAAACGTATTATGAAACAAAAGGTGAATATAGTCTATAAATAAATCAAGGAATTCGGTTTAGAGTGGGTATTGTTTGTGTTCTTGTAGGGGGGTTTACTCACCCAAGAAGAAGTGCTATTCATCGGAAACCTTGAAGAATGTATACGAGAGAATCAAGCTGTTGATGCCATCCATCTTGGGATCCGTTTCAAACTCGGGGTCAATGTAAAAGAATACCTGCATATATATTTACAATAACCAACCAAATCAAATCCGATGAAAAGTAGGGTTTCAGGGTGTGTCATGTGTCCGTAGGTCCTACCCCTACTTGAAACTATAAGTCTCCAGACATTCCTATCTATTAACAAGGAGTTTGTCAAGTAAAAAAAGGCGAGTAATGAGAGTAGAGTGTTAATTACGGGCATGTCAATTTGCTCCCCGGGAAGTAATCGTTGCTCCTCAAAGCAAAAGCACTGCACTTTATTGAAATACACTGCAGCCTTAAAAAAAAAAGAATGGTAAATCTGGTTAGTATATACGTAGTATTTGATTTGGTTATAAAGTTGTAGAAAACCCCCTACTGAGAGAAATGGCTAGATTTTTATTTTGTTTCAGTTGAAAGATCCATGATTAAAAAATAAAGAGAAGTCGAAACTCCCTATAAAGACAAATTTATCCTTTGTGTAGGTTTTTTTAAGCAAAGAACGCACATATTCGTTCCAAATTTGATTGATAACAAATGTCTTTTAAGTGCCAGATCAAAGACACAATATGGACTATCATCAAACTGAAACCGGAAATTCAGATCATAGGGTTTGTGATAAGCAAGAAAAGGAAGAACCTCATTACCCTCTCTTCTATCAAAACAAAAAAGTACAAAAAATCAAAGATATGGGTCAGACCGCCAGAGATATCATATCGTTGATAATAACTTCAACATCAGAATAATGAAAAACATCTTCATCTAATCTGTGTGAGCCAAAGAGCCAAACAAGCACATGCTTGAATTGCTAGCATCAACATGAATATCCCATAGTCACTTTTCCACAAAATAAAAACATTTCCTTTCACTATGGATGGGAATAGCCAGGCTCGTATCATTTTCATTATGCCTAAGCAGGGCATAACACCTTTTAAAGGCTTATTTCCCACCCTGCCTGGCTATTTCTGAAGCCCATCACAAACCTAGTTAACAACAAAAAAACATTAATAGGCCAGAAAAACAAGTCCCACCCCTACCCTTCATGAGAGATCAAACAAGGTAGCCCAAACAGAATAACAAGATCAAGTATAGTAATCCCTCAGTCCCTAAACTGCCATTGTGACTGTGGCACCCGTTGACCACAAATTAAATATACTTTAAAATAATTAAATATTATAAAAATTCAATATTTCAAAACTATATTTTTAAATAAACTCAATTTCAACTAAATATACTTTTTCCATAATTCGTGGTAAAAGGGTGCCACAGTTTGACCAAAAAAAAGTAAAACTGTGGCAATCTTTTAGGGACGGAGGGAGTATTTAATGGTAACTATGGAAAGGAAAAAACTGCTACTAGCTTTTATCACTTTAAAGCTTTTACAATATACTCTAAAAGTCAGGCAATCAAATGTTGACATTCACAAACTTCCAAATGAGGCCTTGTTTGGTTTGGGAATTTTGGAGTGGTGAAATTCGGTTTTACTCCCTCCATCCCTAATTTGTTTCCAATATTCCCTCTCATTCTTGTCCCGCAAAGAATTACAAAGCTCCAATTTTAACACCATTTGGACCATTTTACTCTCCCTTCCATCTCCCTATGTAATGATTTGACTCCTTAATTGGGGGTAATTTGGGGAAAAATTTAATGATTTGACGTCTCCTTAATTTTCTCAAAATGGAATATTGTAATCTAAAAGGGGGCGGAGGGAGTATTATTTTATCGATACTTTAGTGGTATATAAAAAAACAAGCACCTACATCGTCAAATCACGGGTTTTTACTATTACTCATTCTTACTTCCCTTCCAGCCATAAAAGGGGTAAATGTGTGATGAAAAATTCATGAACCATGTCATAAACAGCTTATTTAAGTAATATACCTTCATCGGAGTGACATTATATGTTGATACACCAGTTATTGGAGTTGAGCTTTTATTTTCAGCAGTGTAAAAAGCAAGGGCACTCTCTCCTGGCTTTACCCTTACCTGCAGGTGAAGCGAAAAGAAACATTTCCACCTAACAAATCACACATTCTGTGCAAATATACAAAACAAGCAAAGAATGGTAGCATCAAGAAGGGCACCTCTCGTTGTGTAGGAGTAAACTTCCAAGGCATTCCATCAGCCACATCAGCATTAAATTGTACAACCACCTCCCTGGCAGAATTAGAGCAAAACTATGCATCGGAATAAAAAAGAAACTTAAATTCATTGTGATTAAACACAAAACATTTGTTAAGTGCTGGATGAGAATATGCCACACTATTCAATAATTGATATTATGAACATGAATGATCTTCCATACTCAGTCCTAATATTTAGGTGCATGCAGAAAAATATAAAGCAAATGATGTTTGTGAGATCTAGGGCATAAAAGACTGCCAAATCAAAATGGATGAAAAACTGACAGAAGTGACCAAAATGGAGATAACTACATGCGTGTTTGCCATTTGAGGTTTAGGCTTTGAAACTGACCAAAGTGGAACCCATTGAAACCAATCTCGCCATAGGCAATCTGTTTTGATCTTTGAAACGTGACTTAAAAGAAAACAAGGTCCAAAACCAAACGAAACTGACAAAACCCAACTAAAATGAACCAAACTGAAACAGATTAAAAGCAACTTAAATTATTCTTTTTGGTCTGCATTTTTCAAAACTGAACTGATTTAAAAGAACCAAGGAACACCCTTAATGAGATCTAATAAAGTTCCCACATACTGGTACTAGAAAAATAAATCCAATACCTAGTACTAACAGTTCCATCTTTGGCATGTCGAGCAATCTTTTCTTCAACACTCTGCAGAGCAGAAAACGTTAACATCATGTAAAGAGAAAATGGCGAACTTCAATTTATGTTGCTTCGGTGCATTCAATTTTACCTCCTTGCGAGTTACTGTACCTCCATAGCCTGTAGCTTGGCAGAACCTCCTGTACAAAGGAACTGCAGCATAACTCAAACCAACCATCCCAAAAACCAACCCCGTTAAGTAAAACAACATCTTCTTTGATTTCTTCTCTGTGGAAGTTGCTGTAGTTGCATATTGGTGCCGAAGGCTCAACGATGAACAAGATCGTGCAATATTATGCCTTCCCAAATTGAAGTTTAGAATATTGGCATCAGATACTGATCTGAATTCATGCTTTGACACCATGCTGCCACATCCAAAATATGTTACTTTCCGATGAGCATTTGGGGTGAGTTTGGAGCAGTAGCGACTGGAGAAGTAAGAACTGTGAGAAAAATATGCGATGGTTAAAATAACTGCACAATGGAGCAATAAATTACGATTCCGGCATCCATATAATAATGTCTGACAATCTTTTTAACATCAATAGATTTATATTAATTTAAAATAAGATTTAGCATAAAATGAAAAAAAAGATGTTCATAACATTTTTGGAATTGCCAGGAAAGATTGTAAAAGCCCAAATCTTTTCAATACATACATTAAGAAGAACCCTGGAACACACACTTAAATTATTCAATAATAACCTGGATGATGATGGGTGACGAAGAGCTCTGTTGAAGGAATGAAGCACTCGAGCTCCATCAAAATGCTGGAAAACTGACATTATTTTAGTTGAGCCACTTCAAATTCAGTATCATCTGATGCAACAAAGATTCCCCAATTTCATAAAATTAGTTGAGAAAACATAAAGCATCGGTTTATAAAATTTGGCTGCCAAACAAGGTCAAAATCTGATTAATTGTCAAGATTTATAAAAGAAATGATATTCAGTAATAATATTTGATCTCTTCTCAACCTGAATATAAAGGTTAGTTAATAAATCAAAAGTGCAAAAATTGATGAGGAACAAAGATGATCAGAGGAAATCTGGAGAATTTACCGGTGAGTCTGTACGTCGTGCCCGGCGGAGCCGGAACCAAGGCCGGCGCGAACAACATAAGGGCCATCTGCAAAATATAAGTTGGGCCCTGTCGGACTTTTTGATTTTTTGGATTTTGGGCCATTTGAGCTAGGGTCCAAACTTGTATCATATCAACTGAATTTAAAAACTGTTGGGCCCTCCGACCCTGGCCGGAACACCTGGGGAAGTTAGAGCCCAAGAATTTTTTTTTTACTTTTAAGGGGTCCAGCCCAATTGTATTTTAAAGTTTAAACGGGCTTTACTCAACCTTTCATTGAGACTCTAGACCTTTCTAGACCCTTCCGCCCTCTTCTCAGATCTTCCAACAGGTTTTCCTTCGGCTTCTTCATCTTCTCCATCGGGAAAAGCTGGTCCAGTCGCTTCAGTCCACCATAGTCATTACCGATCAGAGATTATCCCGCCGGAGACGAAGAAAACAGGGAATCTGAAGGTAATTTCGAAGTGCGAAGTTTCTAGAAGGAGAATAACGATGTTCGGAGTGGTATTCCCTAACCGGAGCTTCCCGATCGACATCTCCACCTTCGCTCGAATCGACGCCACACATTGGCTCCTCGATATGAACACCTTCGTCGGTAAGTTAACAAACTAGATCTCGTCTCCGGCGGATTTTATCGGCAGAGATCGATTGATTTCTTCTAATTTTGTGCGCAGGGGAAGCGTACGACTCGATCCGGGAGGTATGCATCTTCCTTCTGGACAACATCACGCTCCTGCCGGACAAGGCTCTCGCCGTTTACATCCAATCGCCGGGATCGCCGTTCCTGTTCTGCGGCGCGGTGACGATTGCACGCCCCTCCGCCGTGCTGTCGCTGCCGTGGCCGGAGCCAGGCGGGGAGCTCCAGCTTACGGCGGATGCGACGCCGCTCTCGGCGAAGATCGGAGTCTCCGTCGAGGACCTCGCGACGCTGCCGTCGCTCGACGTCGCAGCGGAGAGGAAGATCGAGAGGATGTCGATGAAGGTGGGCGAGAATTTGTTCAATTTCATGCAGTCGTTCTGCGGCGTCGACGGGAGCCGGCTGGTGGTGCCGATGGATATTTTAGACCGGTGGTTCAAGAAGTTTCAAGAACGGGCCAAACGTGACCCGGAGTATCTTAAAGGTTTTGCTCTTTAGTGTGGTTATTAATTTTAATTGTTTTTATTAGCAAAGTTAATTAATTTAGGGTATAACTTTTGTGCCTAATTTGTGTTCTGTTGTAGCAAAATTCTGCTGATGCTTTGTTTGAGGATCGTGTCAATGAAATTATTGCAATTTGAATGTTCAAATTGTTCCAAAATTAAATTTGTGACTCGAGTAAAAGTAAATAAATTTTCATGAAATTTATTTAAAGTCAATTATATTTGCGAGGTGTAATTGACGTAGATGGGGGAATAGTTTGAGTCGAGACTTGGCGGGGAGTTTACCGGGGGAGTTAGAGAGGGCAGGAATCATCAATTTCATGAACGGAGCTCCGTAGGGGGCAGTGACTTTCGAAGCCACTGGATTCCAGTAGCTCTAGAACCAACCTCTTAATGAAATATGAAATGACATTGTTGCCATGGGATCATTATGTTAAATAATGATTTACAAATAGTTAAATAAATATAATGATCATTATGTTACATTCTCAAATCAAAGGAACAATACAACAACAAAAATTAGGCAAGGAAAAATCCCACACCCCGAGAACAACGTAGCATTTCTGGCCAGAGTATGAGCCATCATTTTCAATGATCTACGAATGAAAACAAACGAAACAGAGGCATATTATTTGCACTTGATCTGAATGGTTATCATTTCATTGAAACTAGTTTTGATCTGATCAAAATGTAGTTGTATTTAAAGTTATTTTTTATTTGATTTGACTTGATTTTAATAAGAATAAGTAATAAGTAAAGAAAAATATTACTTGAAAAAAACATGGTTTTACAATCCTCAACAACCGAACCTACACATGAAGAGCTATTAAAACGCTCACCAACACGTAAAGCGTGAACTAACGTTTGATAGTCCAAAAGCAATACAACCTCCCGAACACCCCTCCCCTCCAACCATGATAAGGCCTCTTTACACGTCAAAGTCTCTGCAAGAAGCAGGTCGTGGGAGCTTCACAGCCTCCCATTAGTTGCTACCATAAAAGTTTAAAAATTATCTAAATAGGACTAAAACATAAAAAACATAAAAAAAAAATATCAAGTTAGAACTATCATATTTTTATTCTCGAAATAAGATTTCGTACTGTAGTAATGTGACGTTGTACATGTGCATATTACTATACTTTTTGGTAATGTAAATGTATTTTAGGTTCTATTTTAGAAATAAAAACATGAAATTTTTATTTTGATATATTTTTAATGTTTTAGTCTTAATTTGATCTTTCTCCCATAAAAGTTCCCATTAGTTGCTACCATAATACATACTACTTCTATGTATAATCATAAAAAAATGTGAATTTTTTTAAAATGTTGAAAAGAATTATAAAAACATTGTGGATTAAATAAATCAAAAGTCAAGGATAATCATGGAAGCATGTTGGATGTTATTCTATCACATTGTGCGTTGTTGTAAAACTCCTCTTTAATAATATATATCACGTATCTTTGTTTAAAACAAATTTTATCTTTTACTTCTATCAATGCTTCCCCTATTTATTTAGTTTTAACTTAGACCGTGCGTTGCACGGGTTCAAGTCTAGTATCTATCAAAACATAGACCAATTAGGCTTTTTAAATCTAATAGAGTTATTCAAAATGTTAGTAACCTAAATTGAACATTGTAATATCCCAAATTAAGATATTATTGTGAGATGACATTCTGAAACTAGTATGTAGTGTGAATCAATCTTTTTCAATTATTTAAATGAAAAAATAAAAGATAACAGTGTAATGAAGGGGGTATTATTTTTTCGATACAATTGAATCTATTTACGAAAGAAATACACTATTATTATTGTAACTTTAAACAATTAGTAATTTCAGCAAAAGACACAAAAATGTTTGCATTCAAACTTCAAATTGATCAAAAATTAGCAAGAACTAGTACTTCACCCGTGCGATGCACGGGAAAATGTAGTGCACTGTAGTAAAATTAATAACTTATATTTCGTAAAACATATATTGCAACACATATTAAATAAAGAATTCCATAGTATTTGAATGTATAAATTAGTTGTAAAATTTGTAATTCAAAGTTTGTCGAGGTTAACTTGAAAAAGTCAAACTAAACAAATAATACTCCCTCCGTCCTAAAATTTGCTGCCTGCTTTTTTTTCTTCGTCTTAAAATTATCGTCCAATTAAAAAAAGGATGACAAATGACTTTAATACCCTCATGTATTTACACCAATTACATTCTATCGTCTATATTTTGAATGATTGGAAAAAAAATTCAAAAAAGCTTTTTTAAGGAAAGTAAAATTAGAAGTCAAAGGCAAAAATTAAAAATGGGGAAAATTCAAACTTAGGAAAAAAAATTTAGGATGAAGGTAGTAACAATAATGTAATGTAATTTTTAAATTTCACTATTCGAATTATTTATGTTGTGTATACTTAAGTACATTATTTTATAAGTTAGTTTACTTTTGACTTGAATCCACGTGTCAACAGCTATTTCTTTATGTATTTAGTTAGTCCGTATTAAACATGAGGCCTACAGTTGCGAACTCATCCGATTTCATTTTCGGACCAGATAGAGAAAAAAGACAAGTAGAAAGAAATGTAAGGATGAAGAATTAACGACGAATTTTTCCGGCGAGTGACAGTACACGTGCAGCGTTTTCGGAAAATTTAAGGCCAGATCAATTCGAGAAGGGAAAATCGCAAGATTTTATAGAAACCCGAGCTGGATGTAGAGTGAAATGGCAAGGTAAGAACAGCTAATCGACAATTAAAAATTTCTCTTTTTTGCATCTTTAATTTTCAAAGTAAAATATGAGATCAGATTTAGTTTTATGTGCATATTAAGGTAATTTGGAAGGATGAGGGCATTTTTTTAAAAATTAGTGTTGCTTTAATATTTTTTTATGATGTTTTAATTGAAACTTTGAATTGATGATATGATGTTCATTCCTTGATGCATGCAATATCTAAATATCCAAAACTGACAAAGTAAAGGTGCAAGTTTTTTTTGTGATGAGTCGAGTGTCAAGCTGCATTGAGGCAGGAAATGAATCTTTATAGGTTACCACAGGTGAGGTAAAGTGTCATTATTGTGTACAAATAAATTCTTTTTTCGAAAGTGTAAACTTTTCAGCTCAAAAAAGTTGAATTTTGTGGCCGAAACTGTAGAAAGGCATGTATTTAGATATCTAAATGTAATGGGTTAAGAGGATAAAACACAACATATTTGCACAATCAGTTCCTCATTTCTATGTAAATAGAATTTCAGAAAAAAGTCAAATATTCGTGAAAACCTCTTTATACACTACATTTGTCGTTTCAGAATCTGCTTTATCTTGATCATTGCAAATCAAAATCCTCAATCCCGAACGACTTCTAACCCTTGACATTGCAACATACAACTGCCCATGACAAAATACTGGTTTTTTAAGAAGAACACCAACCTTGGATAGCGATTGACCTTGGCTTTTGTTTATTGTCATTGCGTAAGAAACCATGACTGGAAATTGTTTTCTTTGAAACTTAAAAGGTAACCTTGTATCTGATGGTGTCAATGAGATCCTAGGAAGTAATATCTTTTCCCCAGCATTCTTTCCAGTAAGTTGTTTCGCTTCTAAGACACGATTCCCAAGCCGTGTAACAATCAGTCTTGTGCCATTACACAACCCATTAGCATGGTCGATATTACGCATCAACATAATCGGTGTTCCAACTTTGAGTTTTAATTCATGATTAGGAACCCCTGAACATTTTATGGTATTTAGAAACTCAGTGGTGTGCAAATCTCCAACCAAACTATAGTTCATGTCAGATTGGCATATGGTATCTGCACTGTAATATACGCGTTCTTCGGAACTGTTCTTTGACATCATGTAATTGTTCACTGCTTCAACAACTTCCAATGTCGGGGCTAATATAGCTCTATCTTCTAGCATAGTACTATCAAGAGCTAGAGCACAACTTGAAGGGAATATCTCTTCAACAATAGATTGAATTGGGCCGTTACTATGTTGTACCAGAAGATCTGGTGGAATTGTAATATCAACCACGCCATCATTTGGACCACCTGCGTTACCATCACCTATACTGGCAATCCAATCTGTGAATTGTTGAATTTCAGCTGAATTATGCAATTCCTTATTTGCTAGGCGCATATTCTTTGTGAGTTTCAAGATATTGCAATCTTTCCACAAGTAAGAGGAATTTATTGTCGCATTGACAATATCTTGTCTCGTTCCTTTAGGCACCACAGGCAAGATTTGTCTAAAATCCCCACCAAACACTATTGTTATTCCACCAAAAGGTTTGAATCGATTACCAGCATCTTTCACTCGCAATATATCCCTCAAAGTCCTATCCAAAGCTTCAAAGCAATACTTGTGAGTCATTGGTGCTTCATCCCATATTATAAGCTTAGTTTTTATTATGAGCTCGGCAAGGGGACTACCTTGGTGAATATTGCATGTCGAGTCTTCATTAGGAGTGATAGGAATTTTAAAACGCGAATGTGCGGTCCTCCCACCAGGCAAAAGTAAAGCTGCAATTCCACTTGATGCAACATTCACAACAATATCTCCTTTGGATCGCAACGCAGCAGATAATGTTCTCCATAAGAAGGTTTTTCCAGTGCCTCCATAGCCATATACAAAAAACATACCACCA